AACATTTTTAATTTTTAATACAATATTGTAACCATGTGGTATGCCTATTAAGATAGTGATATGTATTGATACCCATGACATTTTTTGAGTTATAGTGTACTAGGTAACAAATAAGAGGTATATAAAAATTAGATACATCATGGTATACCTATATTACTATATTTTTCGGACAAACCTTTGGTCCATTTCATCTTAGAAAAAAAATATTGTGATATCGGTACAAACGAAACACTTCATTTCTAAAAATGTCAGACACTTTTGCAGTCCCCACAGCCACCCTTTGTCGTACAGTATGATTCTGTAATCAAAGTAATCAAACCCTTTAATATTATAGCCTATATGTATATCACTGGACACGATTTATGTTTTGCGATATTGTGTTTTGCCATTCCGTCTTGTCGATTTTATGATTTTATCAAAACTATAGAATAACTTTGCAATTTACACACGGATAAAAATATTGCGGGCCAGTGATGGTGTGCTCAGGATTTTTTTAATGGATGAAGATGGACAATTTTATTACAAAGTTTACCGCATGGTCGATGCCCCCTTACACCTCCATACGAATCCCACAAATAATAACAATAGAATTATAGAATATCCATTAAATCTCAATAAATATTATTCATTTTATTCCTTGTAATTAAAAAAAAATTAATATATAAAAGTGCATATATAATACCTATATTTTTATTCCAGTGTTTCCTAATTACGGACAAAGTAATGAAAACCACGTGAATTGCAACACAAATATTTCCCTTCGTCGCTATTTTAAGACTTAGAAAAATTTGCCAATGAGAGTATAATAGTAAATACCTATACTTAAATCCTACTCAGTTGTTATAGATTTAGTTAGCAATATTACTGTGTTGCGTAAAAGCAATCGTAATCTTTTGAGTTTACCAAAATTACCCAAGTAAATGAAAAATCAAAAAAAATTTGTAAATTGACAAAAATAATACTATTATTTCAATAGCAATTTAAGTTTTGTGGCTTTCGTTTTTAAGGAACAGGCTGAATAAAGGTACTTACAAATATTTTTGTATCATAGCTAAAAAATTGTCGATATCAAACACGATAAAAAAAAACATTGCTACCTATATTGAAATCACGTCCACAATTAGTATACTGCATTAAACGTTGATTTAGACAATCAAAGCCCGTATTCGCCACACAGCAGTATAGTGATGTCAAAAATAATGACCTGTGGAATTTCGTCCTCAACCAGTAGGCAGCCTAATTTTTCTTGATTTTCAAGACATGAAATCAAGAATTTCTTCGGGATCAACAACCACTTCTCCGTGGATAATAATAGCCAATAATGTTACTCACGTTGACACTGTTCTTGAATTGACTTAAAATTATCAAAACTAAAAAGTCATTATTTATTTGTAAATGAGGTGAATTTCAGTCATCGTGCGTTTCCAATAGATATAGGTTTCAATATGTCCATGTATTAAAATATTTTGTCAAAATAATGTACGGTGCATATTGTTAGTATAATTAAAAAAAATTTTGTCGTAAAACAGATTGAATGATTACGTAAACGTAGTGCGTATCTACTGCCGTTTAAAAAAATGTACAATTTGATTACCGTTTTCCTGCCGCATTCTTAGTTCAGCAATTATGCAGGGTTTGAATATCAGCTGAGTCGCTACAAACGGTTGATAATTATAATACAAAAAAAAAAACGATGAAAAAAGATAACGAGTTATTGATCAATTATCATAAAATGCATAGGCATATCATTACTTTTGCCAGTTTGTCACATACTCTGTATAAGCTCATGTAAGACACTCAATACTTAGCAATAATAAAAGTTCCAGTTATTTATGATTATAAAAAAGTTCCTCGTAAGAACGCTCTAAACGATAGAAAATTATTATTGATTATTTTATAAGCATAATATACAATTTACAAAATCAACGATAGGTAATATAATATAATTATGATGATTAGGTTATTAAATGTGTTACCGGAGGAGAAGCAATGCCAACACCAGTTCTTCCTCCGGTTCTCGATAACAAGGAAAAAAAAAGGAAAGAAAGGCTATTAGATGTGATGATTGGCATTGTTTTTCAGAAGTCATTTTGTTTTTATCAATCGAACAGTGCGGGTGAATAATCTGATGCATGATTCTAATGATCGGAGTTTTTATATAAATTGCACAGATTATGTATTTTTACATTATAAAATTATAAATTATAGTTCATGTATCCGGGGGCCAAAAAAAGACTTCGTAGGCCGCTGGATGGATCACTTTGAAATCACACCTATAATATTATAATACACTATTATATTGTATTAGAAAGTCTATATAGGAATTACGAAGAATTTTTTCAATTATTTGTTTCTTTAAACTTTGAAGACCACTCACGTACTAATTCTTATTTTTCTAAATGGTTATCAGTAGGGCATTAGACCTAAGTCCTAAAGTCTAACGAAAATCATATTTTTTAAATTCGTCATTTTCCCAAAATTATTTCCTGTTTCCCAATAATCCCAATAATAGAATCGCTCAGAGATAATATTATTTGAAGTGTAATGTGATGGATATTATTTTGACGTCATCGTTTGGTCCAAGGCCCGCAAATAATTAGTAACGCTGTAGCATTTTGACCCTCTGGCCGGCCCTAATTTGCAGTATGCTCTTCAAAAATAGAACGGCCTGCCATTATTGCTTAAAATTGTGCGTATTTGCTTCAACCACGATTCAAATCATTAATTATTTCAAATATTTGTTAGGTGACCGACATAGTTAGCAATTGTGACCTAGTATAAACTGTTGGAGCGATTTATAACGTATACACGACTTGTTATTTTGCGTATCTAATATCTATATTTTAGTTAACCGTTATGGGTTTTTGTGTAATTTACTATAAAATAAAAAAAATTAGGTATAGTGGACAACAAGCGCTGATGCCTGACAGGATGAAGATTATTAGGTTTAGGTATTAAGAAAACGAATTATTGCATTGTTATGAGTGCAGAGCTTACGAATATTTATAACATGTAGAAACCAACTCAACAGATCGGAACGACAATTGATATATCTATACGAATAGGTAGGTAATCTGCAAATAATGAAGGACGAGTAAAAGTGCATCCTTTGGAACAAAATAACGCATTTGATTTTAATAAATAGAATATTTAATTACTAGGTACTTTTGAAATCATTAATAAAAGAAAATTGTTAAAAAAAATAACACAATTGTATATTTTTTAATGAGTACCTACCTCCTGCTACGCCCTACGTTTGGTTGTTCAACGATTTGAATATTATTATTATTGTAACTTTTTTTTTTTTTAATATTTCATACAGTATTAAAAGCTAGTAAATAGTTAGCTGTAAAATTACTTTTTCTGAATTATAAGTAAGAGTTGGCTAACAATAAATACAAAAGTATTGAACGGTTCACTGTATAGTTGTAATTTAATTTTCGTTTACCTGGATATATATAGGTGTAATGCGTTATTATATAATAATTGTTGTGTGCTTACTACAATAGTTGCCCACAATCAACAACGCGATGAGTTAAATATTACACCTACCAATACTATTATTTACCAGCAATAAGGTATAGAGTTCAACACGAGCACTTATTACATTGAAAAGTGAAAATATCACTTATTGTTATTTATACGATCTGCAAAGGTGATGCAAACTTTCCTGAGCACACATTATATTATTATTGCTCTTCGATCTGTGCACAGTGTTGTATTTATGCCAACTGGCACCTGCAGGTTGATACATAAATCTCATGTATATTGTATGGTGATTCTAATGCATTGAATAAATCTCGATTTGTATTTATTTTTTTTTTTTGTTATATTGTTGTAAGTTATACCTTTAACCCGATCGTCTAATGAACTGCACGATGATGGTTATAATTCTTTCACCGTTACCACGGTGCTAAACCATAACATCTCCCATACTTAATTAGAAAATAATTTAAGTATTCATAATCAAAACAATTACAACGTAACTATATTCAAATTAAATGTACGAAAAAAAGTAAAAGTATATTAAAAGTGTTAAATATAATAATTGGTTGTCGAATTGAACGTTTATAATTATTATACAGTGTATATACTTATGCAGTTATACCTAACCTATACAGTTTAATATATTATGAGTATGAGAGTGCAAAATGTCTAATATTGTATAATGTAGATTTATTGTTTAATTGCGATGCCGATCAAAATCTTCGCCGGTGAAACGATGATGATCCGCACAACGAAGAAAACTCTCCACTGGCTGCACACAGTGTTGAAATTCGGTATAGGTACCTACCTAAAATTATAATGTCTATGATGAAATATAGTTGTGTTGTTAATTATACTTATCATATGTCTGAGCACTCACTACCTATATCGTGTAATTATATAGGTATAGGAACGTATTATCATTGATTATAAATACCTACTAGTATTTATAATCAATGGCATTATGTTTCTTATTTTCTTCGGAATGTTTTCCCAAAATTAAAAATTATTTTTATATTGTACAGAAAACGAATACGTCTACGACATCATAGTCGTTTGAAAGTAATTAATTCTCAAGAATACCATAATAACTATGCAATACCTATTCAAATAACTTTTGTTTAACTTAAAATCAAAGGGGCTTAAAAATCGATTTCTTCGTTTTTTGACTTTCAAAATTTAAAGTTGAACGTCCTCGGCAGTCTAATACTATGGAAGTTAATTGTATTTGATGCTTTGATAATGAAGTACGCCATTAGTTGTTACGGTTATAACATTATAGGCGACAAGTTTATTTTGTCATATTTATGGAAAATTAATTTTAATATCATTTTTGTGTACTAATTTTTTAATTTGTTTATTTTTATATATTACGTATTTGATACATTTTATAGAGATTGTTTTGTGAATGGAGTTTTTACCGTCAATAATAATTAAATAATAATATTCATATTGTATTACCTACCCATTGTACTTTCCTCAAAATTATTAATGGAATCATTTATATTTTCCAGGTATGGTTTGGTCCCTCTAACGTCACCTTATGCTTACACAAAACTCAACAACCCGAAGTCATGATCAAATCTGTTATTATTGTGAGTGCCAAGGAATCTAGTTCCAACAAAGAAATCCATCATCATCATGTGGAAATAACGCATAAGCGGTAGCAAATACTGTTTTAGGTATATAAGCTATTATTGTTATTATTAATTATTGTGTATTTACGACATTTACGTATAAGCAACTATAAATTACAGATTATTATATTATAGTATTAGATTCTGAGCGGACGTTATGAATGTATTGATTTTACAATGATGAGTGTTTTTTTTTTTTTTTTATTATTGTGTCCGTCGGCTTGGGGCAGTAAAAGTGCTTCGATTTTCTTCAACAGCAACTTTTCTGGTGGGAAAGGGAATCTAGTTGTTGCGTTCAGAATGTCAAAATTTAAAATTCACAATAGTTTTCAAAAGTGACAGGAAAAACAAACGAAAAATTAAGGCAAAACCAGTTTTCGAAAATATTGATTTTGGTATTTATTGTAACTCTAAGACAAGTTTCCATAAATCCATGAAATGTTCACTGAATGTCTGTGTTAGTAGTTAGCATATTTCTATACACTACACAATTTTCAAAATATTTTAACTGATGTTGAACTATTTATTGGTATAGACACATGACATTTTTGTTTATTATTAGTTTTTTTCGATTAATGTCTAAAAATAAATATTAGCTCGGTAAGAAAACTTTAAAATATAATACAAGGTTTTTCATAAATTGATGTTAGTGGAAATTAAAAAAAAAAGTTTAACGTAAGTCCACAATAATTTTTTATGAGCGTTTAAATTTAGAATTTTTACAAAATTCATAAAAATCACGAAAATTTTTTAATTACCTATTTTGGATTAGAAGCTCATAAAAAATTTTCTTTTTACATCTAAGATTTTAAAATTTATTACAAGATTCCTTATAAGTTTGTTTACCTTAATCAAAAAAAATTCTACCAGAATGTCAAATTAAATGTTTATGAGCGTTTGTAGTTGAAATTTTTACAACATGGAATATTCACTAGATTTCTCATGTGGTGATTTTCTTATTTTGTTGTAATTCAAAAACTAATAATTATAAATACTTGAAATTCACCGAATTTGTTTATTTTATCAATCCGTATACTTGATATAATTTTCAAAATAATTTGACTCGTTTTGAGATACTTTCAGACACTTTCAGTTTTCATTTTTTTAGTTTTTTTTTATGAATGTCAATAAAATGTTATTGGTTGGGTCAAAAAGCATGCAAATGTAATACAAGATCTTGATATATTATAACAAAAGCAGATGAAAAGTTTTAAAAATATAAAGGGTACGATTTTTTTCTAAGCATTTAAAGTTCAAATTTTGAAGAGATTTATCAAATTGAAAATTGAAAAATGGTTTTTTAGTTAAAAATGTATTAAACGTTCAATTTCATAGCCAAGGATTGACAATTTAAATAAGGTCCTACGTGTGTAGTTAATTCTGTAACCAAAACATTTAAAAATAAACATAAGCAGAGGTTTTTTTATAGTCATGTTAAGTTCAAATTTTCACGAAATTACATATTAACCCAAAGAAAAAGTTTTTAATCATTTTGTTGTAATTCGGTTCTAAAACAGCCCAATTTGCCATAAGTATATATAATATTTTTCCCGCATCACTGATAATTTAAGAATAATATTAATTCAACTTACCGGCTATCGTATTAATAATAACTAATAATAATATAAAATATCCTTGACTGACATTCCGTCTTCACTCAAAATCGTCTTTCGTACCTATACAATGATATTATATAATTTAATTCAAATTTAATATCATCCATTACAGCACAGTTAGACACCTAACGTACAACAGAGCGACAACCTCTTATCCGCTTTTTGTTTATTGAATTTACAAAGTATGTACTCATACACATTTAATCATAAAAAATAAAATATATTCCCAGACCGTTATCAAATTATATATAATACTTCATTCATCATTACTAACATAAAAGTAGAAGTTTTTTACTAACCTACGTACCTTTGAACAATTATATTGTTTCTGAAGTATACTAGTATAGTTTTTCAACGATGTTTGAAGTTTAACCTACAATATTGGATTCATTTAAAATATATTGTTTACTGTATTTTTATAAATTCTCTATCACAAAATATTACTTATAATATTATAAAATAATAATTATACGCAATTCTAGGGGGTCGGCCAAATATAATATAATGTAATACAAATATAATCACTTTGACCATAGTGGAATTGTTCAAACCATAAAAATATGCTTGATAGACGAAAGTAAACCTTCTCGGTTTTATTATTATTTTGTAAAGTTAATTTAATAGGTAAATATTTTACTAAATGTTGACCTTATAAGAAACAATGTATAATAATTAACTTATGTATGTTACGGTCAAATACGTTATTCGAACAAAAACGTCATTGACTACGAAGAGCTAATTATCTACCTAGGTATATGAGAAAATGTTGTTAAAAATCAAAATTCTAACTGTAAATTATATTTATTTTTATTATATTTTTTGAAAAATGCGACTGCCAAAATTGTTGATAAATATAATAATATTATATCTTATTATTTATTTTTACACACAGAGCTGTAATAACATCACTTGAATGATTATATAAATAATAATAATAATAATATTCTATTAATTTAATAAAAATACGATACCGTATACCGATTGTATATCATTAAACTAAAATAACCAAACTTATTGTAGTCTATCCAGTATCCATTTGGCATTTATACTTTTTAATAGTATCTATTAGTGCAGTGCATTTTCCCGGTTTACCATAGTTACTATCGAATGAATAGAACACTTTTCATTTAAATAAATTCAATAAAGAAAATCGTAAATTCAATAAAGTTAAGTTAAATTAAATGTGTTATGTGTATCATAGACATATTATATTATATATATAGTACTCCCGGAGGTGAGACAAATTATATATAATATATTGACATATTGCTCTACAGTGCGCTTCAACAAGTTCCATACCACAAAAGGCATTACAGTTTACGACTACTACTTATACTTTATAATATTGAGTGAAAACATTATATACCTGTTTAGAAGTCGAAATGAATGCAGTTTCGAAAATTACTCTTGAAAATAATAACGTTTGTTAAAATCTAACAATATAATATATTATATTCGATTCCTCCGTCCTCGTCATTTACATGATATACAATTCAAAAATAAATATAATGTATAATATTATGTTATTATATTAATATTATATTTTTATTTGGTCCGATCAAGTTATCGGCCTATGACGTTATACTGCAATGGTCGAATAATTTAATGCTTGATAATGTTCCTATGTTTAGAGTAAGTATAACATTTCGTTGGCATTAACGTTATTTTCCACATTGGCCTATCTAATATATATTATTTAATTATTTATAAACAAACTCCGTAATAGTAGTCATACTTCATGGGGATCCATTAAAGTGTCTAGTGGTCTACAGTTCTACACTCATAAGTCATAATTTTCAAAGTTGTAACTTTTTTGAAAATATATTTTCTACATAATTTGATATCATTGTAAAACTACATCTTTGAAACTAAATTATATTTATGTCATGTCGTTATGATCTATTAAGATTTGTACTTGTTTGAACCATACCATACATTTTTCATTTCATATCCCTGAGCAGAATATATTTCGGAATAAATTGTTACATAAAAATCGAATTTCGCACAAGTTATCACTTATAAGTATTTAATTTTTAGATAAGCGGTGTAAAGTGGAAAAGAGGTAGGTACCCCGCAAGTTATTGGTCTATTACTCCATTCATCAAAGCTTCAAATACAATAAGTTATTATTAACTAGCCGTTTGTAATTCGATTTTGATGTATCGAAATACTCGGAAAAATATTCTGCTTCTGAATATGAAATTAAAATTATATGTTCTCATTAAAAAGTAAAAGATAAAAAATTAAAACGACAAAAATTGTAAAAAATAATTGTTCTCCCAAAAACGTTGTTTTGAAATCATATAAAATTATATGAACAATTATCTGTTGACATACAGTACGTTGCTAGTCGATAAATATGCTACCTAAATTTGTTTCGTTAATGCTACCTACACATTTTAATATTATTATAATCAAAATATTTTATCTTGCCTTACAAATTATTTTCAGTAAATATTTTAAGTGAACTTAATTGGCATACCAATTTAGATTTTTAAGTACATATTTGTTTTTTTACTTTGTTAAACATTTAAATTTATTCAAACAATATTTGCCTGTTTTACGTCACTCCAATAAAACGCCGTAAACACAATAACAGTTATGAATGTATTGACCGCCACCATTTCTCCTCGAGTTTCCACTGAAGTAGACTTTTTGCTCTTTTTGTATTAACTACATATTTTTGTTTTATCAACTGTATATTTAATATTATCCATTTTATTATCTAACTTAATTTACCTGCGTATACGCCGAAACCAATTGACACGATAATAAAAAACTACGATATTATGTTAAAATATAATAACTAGTCATATTATAATGTTATTAATTTTGTCGATATTAAATACACCCGTGGGTGTATAAAGAAAACAACTGTAGGTATAGCATACTTACAAAGTACCATAATAATATTTTCGTATTTATTTGGAATTATTGACAATAGTGTATTGATGATGTTACAGGGATGGTTGCGTCTATCAGGATCGGCGTGCTGAGGCATATGTTATACCGTCTGATATTTTGGGCGGCTATATTGTTATGCCTCGCACAACTGTTGATAACGTTATGGAGATCAGACCGGCCGATGGCAATGAAGTCGAGCAACATCAACACCAGGATGATCCTGCAGAATATGATTGATTTTCATACCGCGCGGACCACAACACCGCCGTACGAAAGCCTGTTGACCGTCGAGCCGTGGGTGGACAAGCTGTCCGTGCAATCGGAACAGCTGATCATGGACCAAGTACAAAAACGGCTGCCCAATCTGCCGGTGACGTATTGGAACCAGAACAAGAACAAAGCGATGTACTACAAAAACGAGAGTTGCGCCAAGTTTCCGAGTATATACGAATTGGAATTCAACAACGTGTACTGGCAGTCGCTACAGACGTCCAACGGGTCGTTCCACCTCTACAGCGCTTACTACGACGTGCGAAAGCTCAGTAGGATCGGGCCGGCGGTCCGGATACTTGGCATGATCAACCGGATCGAGCCGACGGTCAAGACTCACTGTCAGTTTTGGTTCGACGACCACAGGCAGCCGGTCATCGTGAAAATCATGGAATACAAATACATATGGTACAAGAAGTGGGGCAACTACAAGCAGGGCATATTCCAGCCGTACCTGATCGCCTGCCAGATACCCAAGTCCCACCACCACGCCGTGCCCGCGTCCGTGTCGTTGGTGGAGAACGTGTGCGACAAGGCCACCAACAACCTACGGGTGGTGTACAACCGACCGGCTGTGAAGAAAGGCTTCGCGGTGTGTGTCAAGGGCCTGGACTTCCTGTACGAAGACCTGTCGGTGCGGTTGGTCGAGTGGATCGAGCTGCTGCACATCCTGGGCGCGGATAAGATCTTCTTTTACCAGCTGCAAGTGCACCCGAACATCAGCAAGGTGCTCGACCACTACGAGTCCGTGGGCCGCGTGCACGTGACGCCGTTGACGTTGCCCGGCGGCCAGCCCAACGTACCGGGATTTCAGCACCTGTACCTGACCAAAAAAGTGAACCACAAGCGGCAGAACGAACTTATACCGTACAACGATTGCCTGTATCGGAACCTCTACTCGTACGACTACATAGCGCTGTTGGACATCGACGAAGTGATAATGCCGATACGGACCAGGACGTGGAAGGAGCTCATGGAAACGGTGATGGTCAAGGCGCTGGCAGCCAGGAACGAGACCCGCGCCTCGTACAACGTCCGGAACGTTTATTTCCTGGACGATCTGATCCACACTCACGGTTGGTTCAAGACCATGCCGAAGTACATGCACATGTTACAGCACGTGTACAGGAGCAAGAACTACACAAAACCGAACCAGTACGTGAAATGCTTTCACAATCCCGAAAGAGCGTTGACGCTGCACAACCATTTCCCGCTGGCGTGCCTGAGCCAGGGCTGCACGTCGTACGCCATGGACACGGCGGACGCACATCTTCAACATTATCGAGCCGACTGCGTAAAGACACTGAAGAAAACTTGCACAGAGTTTAGACAGAACAGCATAATCGACACGACCATCTGGAGGTACAAAAGAGATCTCATATCCAGGGTGTCGAACACGTTGTCGTCACTGGGTTTTTTTCCGGCCATATAACGAAAAACCGATTAAAATAACACAACATATAATATCGTTATATACCGTTTGTCCACAAAAACAGGGAACCCAAAAAAAAGTGAAATTGTTGAGTATGCGTAAAATACAAGAGTGAACCTATTGTAAGTCACGGGTATTTATAATCCAATAGTTAAGTCTCATGCCCCGCAAACCGATATCAAAAGTATGTATAGAGTGCTGAGTAAAGCCGGATTCAAAGGTACGCCGTGTGTCGTGTCGTGCGAGGGAGTGGTAACTATATGGTTGCAACTGGTAACCATATTGGCTTAAAAGCTGAGCTGTAGTCAATTATTGGTATATTCGGTTGCAACTTGGTTATTGATATGATATTATATGTTATTTACATGATACCAAAAAAGTAACTCCAATCACAATGTGATTTGATCGGCATGACACACCACACGACGTAGCTGTGAATGCGCCCTAGTGTACCATAAACCGTATACCCTGTTTTTGTGAACACACAGTATACATGGATGATAATAATTAAACAATTTTCATATAACATAGATATTTGAAAAATCGTATCTACAAGTGCGATGTTGTTCATTAAATTGTACATAGCTTATTACACGCGCGTCACACCCACAGAAATCTTAAATTATTACTATTGAAATAGGGCGTACCTCTTTTTCACCTCCAAGTGGACTACAATTAAAACGTGAATGCCCATTCACCGACAACTAAATAAATACAATTTGTATATATTCGCTGCAAAAGACTGGGCCCTACTAGCGAGTGCAGTCTCGCGAAATTCCGAATTTTATACGACTTACGAAACTGTATTTTTTAAATTGTTCGATAGGACAACTTTATACAATTATATAATTATCACGTTTTATTTTTCTATAATGATCCAATGTTGATTTAATCGGTCTTTTTTTAATACTAGAATTTATAAGATTCAATGCCAAAGGAGCGAAATGCAGGATTTGAGGTTCCAAACATTAATTACTTCTTACTTTTGTAAAGATTTATTTTTCCTTCGAATCATATAAAATAGAGTTCACCGTTTTTGAGATCCCATACTGTTCATGTATCCTTAAGGTATTTTTATGTTTATTCCAACTATTAGTACTATAAATTGTACAGGTTTAGTAAGATTATACCTTAGATTATATTTTATTGATATTTACCAAATGTTTTATTATTGATTTGCCTGATGTATTATTTTTACTTCAAAACACTACTCAATTATATTAATATTTCTGTAATTATTTAGTATTATATTAATTATTTGTTTATTATATTATTTGTGTAGTATTGTATTAAATTATAATATAAATAAATATTAATATGTATTGTATCATCATGTTTATTAATCATATATGTATAATGTATATCATGTGTATAATATAATTATTGTACCTTGTACCTACGTCTTATTAAAGTATTATTAGTTTTACAAATATTACGAGGGATCGAAATCCAATGATAGACGACCGATATATTCACGACTCACGAGTTATGAACACAAACTCTATGCTGTATAATTAATCATTATTTATTGTAATTGAATGAATATAAAATTAAGAAGTCCAATAATAAAATATGTACAAAGTTTAACAATATTATTCTTAAGCCCAAAGAAAATAAATACTATAGACTGATAGATATATCAACTATAACACCAAACGTATTAGCTCTTGAACAAAACACAAATTTACAAAAATATTTATAAACTTCAGCAATATTTCTCTGCGTACCTGTAGCACATTACTTAACGTAAGTTATTAGTTTCCGCCAAAATAAAAATTTTCGTTTCTGCCAAATTTAAGAATATATCATTTATAATAACTGAATACAAAAAAACCATTCTGATAATATTTTTAGTTTTGAACTTTGTTATTGCAATAGTGAAGTGTTTATAATCTGTTTCGAATAGCCTATCTTATTGATTTGTGGATACTTATTTAATTTAAAACCATGTATTTAATATTTATTTGTATCCATACATGTTCGTTTGAAAACTTGAAATTTAAATGTTTAAATATGTATTAATATTAGGTTGCGAATTGTACAACTGTTCGTTGAAATGTGTTCCGAATGATTCGCAATTATTTGTTCTGCATAAATCATCATTGAAACTACACTGTAGGTGGAAACGTACTGTTTTCGGAAATATAATTTTCAGAACACCAAAAAACAATAACATAAAACAAAATTATTGCCAGTGATTCTCAAATGATAACTTTGGAAGAAAATGGTTTGGCGGAAACGATGCGTGCCCCTAAGACGATGTATTGCTTTTTATTCATTAGTTCATTACAATAACAATATTTCCTAGTATAGAATATATTCACCACATACCTATATTTTAATGCGATTGAGGATAAGTACTTACCTACATGTGATGTGCCCAAGTTACTATAATATTATAATACTCAAATATTTTGTCACTCTCATATACCTACACTAAACATATTATACATATTATTATATAATATTTTATTTATTTATTGATACAAATATATTCTATCAACTGATTTGTTTAATAAATTATGTCCATATGAGCATACAATATTTTATATGACCTGTATTATATTTGTTTTTATTAATTATTTAAACACTTGTAAATGTTAAAAAAACATTTATTTACAATTTTACTATTAATTGTTGTTAAAAACTGTAAGTTCCAATAGAATATTATATTATTACAGTTCTGTAACTTTACGAAAGAATAATTATTTACCTATAATATTAAACGGCTGATGTTTATGCATTACATTTTTTTTTTCTTTAACAATAAAATTTGCAGTTTAGTATTATTCCTAAATCTATGATTAGCATAGGTAATACAATTTATTTTATAACCTTTTTATGGTGCATATTTATTTATTGTTGTATTAACCGGCATGTGACCCATTTCATAATACGTTAAATTTAGGTATAATTACAGACAAACTAAAACTGAAGTAAATTAAAATTAAAATAGTTAAAATGACAATGAAATAATTTGAATAATATAGTGGCATTGAACAACAGTAATAATAATAGTAATAATAATTATAATTATAAACTTTGTCATTCTACAAAGAATTATTTTTTAAATAATGTGTTGGACTTAAAAAAATGGAAAACTAATAGAAAAATTCTTAGAACTGGCAAGGCAATTGTCACTGTCCATTAATACTAAACTACTGGAGCATTTACATAAGAATTCATAATTTACTCAAAAACCTAATAAATTATTATCAATCTTATTCCATCAGCTCAAGTGTATTCATTAAATAACATTTAAGTAGAACAGAGTCGAAGGCACGAAGAACAGGAGTGTAATCATGTGTAATCCAAATGCATAGACCTTGTTGTATTGAATGGATGTGAATTTATATTTAATGCATTTTGTTAAGTTTTAATATTTTAGTAAATCAATGGATAATAAAGCATTGCACACGAAAAACTTATTTTGAGCAAGACGCTCATTGTCACTATCGCTGTACCAGCTTCTACTTAAATTTTCTAAGGGTTTTATAAATTTAGATAACTATTTATACTACCGTGTTTTAGGTGTTAAAACCACCACCGGCGGCCGCACATATGCAAAAAACATTACTATACTCGGCACATTTCTACAAAATATATTGTCATATTATGGTACTATTTCATATTTAAAAATCCATATCCATATTATTAATATGTAGATTCACGAATACAATAGATATTACGATGTGTAAAACCCCCCAACATGTTATATTTAAATATAAAGTTATAACACCTCCTCAAAAATAACCCTGGCTACTTGCCCATAATGTCTATTATTACTCTTATACAGTACGACGGCGGGTTAAACTAATTTTTGCCGCAAACTTCTCATATATTATATAATTATTGTTGTAATATTACATCATACATAAATATTTTGATGTCTATTTATTGTCCATAGAAAATTATAATACAAATATTTATACTATTTTAAGCTTCTACGGTTATCAATTTTTAAATTAGACAAAAAAAAACAAAATTAATTTTGTCAAACATTTTTAGTACCTATCGTTTCTTATTTTTTGGTTTTTTTCCGATTATTTTCACTCGGGAAATGAAATGTATTTATAAACTTAACACATATTATATATTCGTCACTGCATATTTATATCATTGCATCAATCATAAGCACAATACACATCGAGAAAATTATGAGTTGAGACTGTCCGTGGTTGGATATTAAAAGGTCGAAAGTTGTTCAAAACCTCATACTTGCCGTTCGTAACTACACTTTTTATACCGTTCAATACCTGGTACATATTTTATCTATTGCTAAAAATTAAAATTTGGATGGTTGATAATATTCTAAACTACATACATTATACATCATCGACAGTTACAAATTCAATACTTATTATAATTAACTAAATCGTAGTAAATAATAGTTACTGTGTTAGTATCAATTTATATAAAATATAGATATATATGTATATATACAAGATAAAAATATAAAATAGATATTACCTAATTAGCTGATAACATTTATCAATTAGATTGGAATACTTTTACATCTATAAGAGTTGTCAATAATTATTCAATGAAAGTTATTATTCATTGTTGATGAATCGATTACAATATACATTTTAAAATGGCTATTTCTTTGTAATTATCTATACTTTACTAGTAACTATGGATAACTTACTCTACGACTCTACGGTGCCTTGTCGTATTTTAGATATACATATATATGCGTTATTACTTGTTGATATATTTATCATAATGTGAGGTATTGAAGAATTGAGGGGTGTAATTTTGATAAAACTTTTATGTATAGATGAGAAAGGTGCGGGGATTTGAATGACGACTTTTTTTGCTATTATGATGACCGCCGAAAAGAGCTGTACCTATAATACAGCTGCGTTGCACTAAGTGACACCTCGGTACAGTATTTACGCCTCTAAGACTCTATTGGAGTTTACTGATTTAACAATTAGAAAACAAATTATTTTGATATTATAAATTGTGAATATTCATATTTTATCAGTTTGTATAACACCCACATTATTATTTACTTAATTTTCTTTGTAAAAAATAAAAATATCAATAGCATAATTTAATATTATTATAAACTCAAAAAAAATGTCATGGTAATCATCCCGTCGCCACCCTCCTTAGGTTTGACCACCACTGTACTATAATCATTATTAGGTACTATTAGTGTCCGATCATTATATGTGAAATAAATAAATAACAGAGTGTATCATTACTGTCATGAGTAAATAGAACTGTGTACTACAGTTCCTATACCTATACAATAATATCGACCAGCGTCAAAGTCTCAGCGCAACTTACGATATTATTAGGTAGTTAAATTGACATTGTTCGTTTGACTGACAAGTGTTTTCCTGGAAATCGTTATTTGTGTATGTGTGTGTGTGTGTGTGTGTGCGTGTGAGTAAATTTAAACAATACATCAATAGGATAGAACATTCCGTGTAGAGTGCATAATAATATAATCAAGGGTTCATAACGCATGTTGAAACATTTTGATCAGACGCATGTTACCAAATAGATCACACGTCGTATACCTTTTACTTCAATAGAGTTTGTTGTATCCATCAACGCAATTGCATATCTTTCAAATCACAGGTAAAACTACAAAATGTATTACAGATATAAATTAATAAATTGATTTCAGAACATTAAATGAGGACGCCACAGCCGCACGTGTTGTCTCTGTCTTGCAAACGTACAACATAGCAAAAACTGTTTTACACGAAATAGCACCACTCAAGCTAAGCAATCAAAAAGCAATAAAGCAATTAAAAGCAATCACACTATAAATAAGGGAACATTTACTGTGCAACATCGTTTTATTTTTTCGATATCACAAATACAATCAAAGTTCTAATTGTTTAAAAATTCAAAAATTCGTTATTTCAAACTTAAATAACTTTTTTTGTATTATTTTGTGGTATCGAAAAAATAAAACAATGT